ATACCTGATTGTGTGTGTGTGTGTGTGTATATATATATATACACACACACACACACACACAATCAGGTATCGCTATTCTGATTAAATGTACGTTGCTTTGGCTTTTCAACAATGTAGAGGTCATATTAAAAGAAACTTGGATGTAAATAAACGATTTTTTACGCCACATACTGTGTACTGAACAGCAATAAACGTCGTGTAAGCCAATAAAAAGACAACAGCCCACTTACCGTCATAAAGAAATCGCAACAGGTGGAATGAAACGCTGATAGCCTAAAATAGTTTTTCCACGCATTGCTTCCGCAGTTTTCTGTCGAGAATCTGACGTCCCACGAACAGGCGGAGCGAGCGGGGCGCACCTGTGCTTTACAACACGCCCAGCACGCGCTCTCGTCTAGACGGTAACCATAGTGCGCAACTCTCGCGAGATTCACAGGGACTTGAGTCGCGCTATAACAAAACGAATCGGAACAAATTTCACATTCATAAACCCAAGTTTACTAACAACAACAAAAAAAAACTTTGTTTACTGAGGTACGACTGTATATGGATAATACTCATATTAGAGAATATTTGAAGAAAGCTTTAAGACTTCAAACGTTTGAATTATACAAACTATTTATTTGATATTTTTATACCCATATCCTTATTTTTTCTACATTACTACCACTCAGCACTTTTTAATTTAGTACTGGTTTTTTTTCTCTTATTTTACTTTTCTCTTAATTTGCATTATGCATAATTGTATGATCAATATTTGCATTTGAGCTAATGTGCATGTATGTGTGTTTATTCAGCATTTTTATATTATATATATATATACATATACACATACCTTTATGCTCGTAAAAATACCTTTGCTGTTTGAGCAAAAACATTGAGACATTAATAAAAAAAAATAGTTCAGAATATTGGTCAATTATTGATCAGCATTGCAATATGAAATATAAATCCTGTAAAATGCCTTGGAGTGTTACGTAATTTCAGAAAACACAATATCTGATCCTCATGCACACAAACCAGACACAACAGTCATGACAAGCACAAAAAAATGATATAAATTAAGAATCCCTTTATTACAGATAATGTTACAGATGTTTAGTTCATTACAATGGTCAGACATTTATTTAGGACAAAAATGTGCAAAGGTTTAGTATGGCCGTATAGAACATATAATCTCAGCCTAAAACTCTGCCTGTCAGCTAGTAAACCTCTGACCAGAAAAATAGAGGGGATTGCTCTAAAATATAGTAAAAAGCAGTATTTTGAGTGGTTAGAGGAGATGATGGATGTCTTAAGTTATTCTGCAAGTGCATTTGACAAGAAGAGGAGAAGGGGAGTCATTATTTAGGGATGAAAAACTGTCTCAGTAACTGCGACCAAACAGCGTGTAGAACTGCGCAGGCTCTTTGCCGCTGACGCACATCTGACCGGCCTGCAGGGTCTTCAAGGGCTCGAAGGGGATACACAGACTCTTGGCTCCCATTGAAGGTGCACCAGGCTCCAGGTCTTGATCCCTGAGGACACAGGAAAGAAAGTGTTAATGGTAACCAACATCTCCCATGAAAAATGTAATATATATATATATATATATATATAGCCCCCATTTTTCATGAGCTGAACTCAAAGATCTAAGACTTTTTCTATGTACACAAAAGGCCTATTTCTCTCAAATATTGTTCACAAATCTGTCTAAATCTGTGTTAGTGAGCACTTCTCCTTTGCCGAGATAATCCATCCACCTCACAGGTGTGGCATATCAAGATGCTGATAAGACAGCATGATTATTGCACAGGTGTGCCTTAGGCTGGCCACAATAAAAGGCCACTCTAAAATGTGCAGTTTTATCACACAGCACAATGCCACAGATGTCACAAGTTTTGAGGGAGTGTGCAGTTGGCATGCTGACTGCAGGAATGTCCACCAGAGCTGTTGACCGTGAATTGAATGTTCATTTCTCTACCATAAGCAATCACCAAAGGCGTTTCAGAGAATTTAGCAGTACATCCAACCGGCCTCACCTCATGAAAAATGGGTCAAAAACAAGTTTTGCGTTTATAATTTTCAGTGTATGTGTGTGTATATATATATATATATATATATAATTATATTTTTTCCTTTTGTTTCATAAAATTGATATTTCTGCTTCTATCGTTAATTCTTTTCTGTTCTGACATCATGAGTAGGGCTGGGTTTTGACACAAATTTCACGATTTGATTAGATTCTCATTCACAAGCTTGCGATTCCATTCCATTACCAATTCGATTCAATATCGATTATTTTGGATATATATCAGGTACAGTACATACCAAATTTTCTCAATGAAAAAAATCTCTCATCTAATGTTATAAAATATACATTTTGACATACAGTTTGACATGGTCAGTTGGTACTACATTACTATAATATTGAAGGTTAAAATTGACTGATCTGTTCAAATTACACTTAATGAAGTCTTTAAAATAATAAAGTTACAATTACATAATATTTGTAGCTTCAATTCATTTTTTTTATATAAACAATGGTGGCTGTCATAAAAACTTGGATTTATTCAAACAAATTAAACATTGAAGAACAGTAAAATGTATAATGAATATGTTATATGGTGCATATATTTAGCAAAATGCTCCTCTCTACGGTTCATTTTCATATCTGACTAATGAGTTTATGGTCACCGAATGTTTTTCTGAGGTAAATGTGACGTTACGTGACATTGTTTACAAGCAGTTATATTGACGTCTTTGCGCGGCTGAAACACTGATTGAGAGATTACATGACAAGATACAGATTGTAAAGTTGTACTCTTTCTTTTAACTTACCTTCGGATGTTTAGTCATGTTTATTTTGTGCCGAAGCTGGTATTAATGTGGAGGAGCTTATCAGATCACGTGCGCCTCACGCTGCTGCGTCTGTTGAACTGAGGCGCTACAGCGATCTGTCACTCCACATTAAACAGTGCCAAAACAGCATTTATTGTTTGAATACTGCAATACAATGGGCAGAATTTGAAATCTGAGACTTTGTTTCATTTTAAAAGTACCAAAGCACAATGCTTATTGTGATTTATTGGATGGGAGGTGCCCTTCAACGTTACATCCATTAACTGAAAACAGGCTAGATTAATCGTTTCTTGGGATTTAAGAATCGATATAGTTCCATAAAAATGATAATCGATTAATATCGAGATAGATATTTTTTTCCCAGCCCTAATCATGAGATTGTCACAAAAGAATATTGAGAAAGGAAATATTTTTTTAATAATATTTTAATTATTTTAGCCTTTAGTAGTCACAAGAGCTTTAAAAGAAATTAATATATTTAAAACAAACATTTTAATATTTAAAACACTTAAAATAAACATTTGTAAATTATATATATACACACACACATACATACATGCATGCATATATATATATATATATATATATATATAGTTTCTATTT